ATACATATTTTTTTATATATATATATATATATATATGTACTATTGAAAAATAATTTACATTTACCAAATTCTTATTAGACTTATGTAAATAATACAACCTGACCTCAAATTTTAACTTGTTTATTTTTGACAAATATTTTAATGAGATGGGTTCTAATCATGTCACCCATTTGCATACTTACAAGTTAGAAGTATTGAGTGGGTGAGAATCTCTGTTTGGAACTTACAGTGCTAATAATATATTTTTTTTTTACAATTTTTTATTTGTTAAAATATATTAAAAATTAGAAATAAAAATGAAGACTTTTTAAATTTTGTAACTTTTAACAAATTTTAATTAAAATATCTTTTTTTATACTATACCAACAACAAAGTTTGATCTTAAAACCTTTTACATATTCTAAATCTAACCCTTTACTTCTGGCAAACTATAGTGGTAGATAGAAAGTGTGTTGAGCAAGCTAAAAAGTGTTATACAATGTGTTACTAATATTTTTCTTAAATATAATTACTTCTCATCCTAGACTGAGATGAAAATGGCTATGATGACCTTTGAATTAAGCAAGCTAAATCTACTTGTTTAGTTGTTTTCCCAGCAAATTCTTCAGTTCCCGCAAGCTACAATGCACCTTTACTCCTGCCTGAATTGGTTCACAGCAATCTTCAAGAGAAAATCATAGAAACTAGAAATATACCGTAAGAAAAAAAAATTCTTATTTTATTTATAAAAATAAGAAAATACAAACAATTCAACATCATAAAAAATAGGAAAAGATAACATAAAATTCATTTAACGCGATTTAATTTTTCATGTCTATGTTTACAAGAATATTCATTACATATGTCAAAATGTATTACATATATATCCTGAAAATTTTTGCTTCAAGTTATATGAGTTAAACTTGAAAATTCATCTTCACAAATTTTATGGGTAAAACTCAAAAATCTTCCTTCACAAATTTTCTGAAAAAACTTGAAAATCCTCGTTCACAAGTTTTTTTAATGAAACTTGAAAAACCTTCTTCATATATCCTTATCTCTCATTTAAAGTAGTGACCTTTCTACAGGTTGAATGATTTTTCTCATCTTAAAGATATTTATTTATTGATCTAGCATTATAATCTTAGAAGAGGAAACAAATCTTTAAAATAAATACAATATATTTTAGTTCTAAATAATATTATAAAAAATCAATATCTTTTAAAATTTAAACAGTATAATATTTGAATTTAGAAATTTGAATTATTTTCTCATTATATACAAAAATCACCCAGGTTAGTTTGCGAAACAAATCAAGTGGAATGAAATTAAACTAGCTATGTACCATGGCATGTATTAAGTCTTGATCTCACAACTTTGAAGCGGGGTTGATATTAGTTTCATGAGATCATAATTTTTCACTAGAGACTTGAGGAGTAGCACTGAACTCTATGCATATTCAACAGATTAATTTTGTGAAGGACGAAAACAATCTGTTAGAACACCTTAACAAGTAAACCATTGAAGAATTTTCGGACAAAAGGAATGCAGTAGAAGTAGAAAACAATAAAAATAAATTCAGAATAATTCAGCATTTAACATTAATTGGATTTACCTCATTCTATTGCTGTATTACTTGTAAGATAGAACAAACTGTTTGAACTAAAGAGAGAATAAGGAGAACAATTCCAGCAATGGTAGCAGCAGTTTGCCAAGGACTGCTACAATAATCCCTTCTCAAAGTAGACTTCATTTTATGCCAAGGATCTCTATAAAAAGCATTCATATCTTGGCACATACGAAAGTAACTGTCATTGAAATTTAAATGTGTAATATTTTTCCAAAGACCATTAAACAAATCAGCCACAGAATCACTATCTCCAAGCCAGTTCACCAGAACTCTCTTTTGAACCAGTATATCCACATCTCTCCCTGTGTTCACAAGGAAGTCCAAAATAGCAACGTAGTCTGTAATGTAGGATTCGTAAGGGTAGTGACACTGCTCCAACGCCACCAAGTTGCGGAACAATAGTTCAGTCCAATCTTCCACTTTCAACTGTGGGATTTCAAGAACCCCTCCTGAAAATTTCAAGTCCAGCAAGCAGTTACTTCTTTTATTGTCCTTAAACCTCACTCCTGCTTCTAGCAGCTCAGTAGCACTATGAAGATGTATGACCGATTCATCAGTCCTAAGGGATCGCCTTTGCTTAGGATGTTGTAAGTGGAAAGTTCTTATGAGATCCGTGAAGTGCCTTATGCTAACATTATGAAAAAGCAAATTGGATCTGTTGTAATAGGCAAAATAGTCAAAAGTAAGCTCAATAAATGAAGGGATTTTATTGTTACTAGAGGCAGATCTAGAGGGGTAGGACAGATTAAAGAGATCTTCAAGCATAAAATAAGGAAGCTGATTCTCAAGTAACAACAGATCTAATCTTATATTAGTGGTCAACCAAGGCTTCAAAAGAAAGGAGTCATTCCCTGACCACTCATCATAATAGGTACTCCAAAAAAGTTCAAATATAAAACCAGAATCGACAAAGATGATTTTCACCAGTTCCTCCTTGGTGAACTCAAGGGAGTCTGAATAACAGCCACGGAATTTGGACTCCTCCCCTTCTATGTGGCGGATCCAGGTGTCCAAGGATGTTTGTGTTCGTTTGAGAAATGCCTTGCAATAAATACGTTTGTGCCTTTCCATGTTAAGAAGGCGAGGATGACCCTTGTGGTGAAAAGGACCAATAGAAACCACCCTTGGGGTGTAGGCATCTTCGTTGAGTTTCCGAATATCAAAGGGTACTTTGTAGATGCAACACTCGTCGGTTTCAGGTGCCTCTGCCCCTTCCAGCATCTCCTTAATATCGTTCACAACCTTACTCTGGCTCATGCCTACAGTTATCTATTTCTAAGTAACCATAAATCAAAGAGGTTAAAGTGGAAGAATCCAGAAGAGAAAACCGGCAACAAAAATTAAGAAACTCATGAATTTGAAAGCAGATATTACCAGATTCCTTTTGGTCGACTAAATTTCAAGTTTCTGATGGCGAAAGTTCTCTGTCTTCGCTTGTTTTGTGGCTTTGTGCTGAGAATCCAACGTGGTGGTGCAGTAAGACTTTGTACGTTTTGATCTAATGACCGAATCTGAAGCGTTCATCCAAATCGGACGGCTCAATGCATATCTTGAGCAGTACCCACATACTAATAGAACTACCCACCTAACATTAGAGTTGAAATAACGTGGAAAATCGTCAATGCACCATAGGACAAATACTATAACACATTAAATTTGTTCATTTAGTTACTAAAACTTGCAATTTTTTTTACGTATAACCCTCTTTATGTTTTTCATACAATTATTTACTCAAATTCATTAAATTGAATTGTTTCTTTATAGATCTATCTTTTTAAGACAATATTGTCATTGTTTGTTTTTGATTCCGTGTTTTTCATTTTCTTATTTAGGTGATTTCTATAATTCTGTTTGCGACTCCTTTTGTTTCTAAACTGTTGCTAGAACATCTGCATATGGGATTATTCGTATCTAATGTTGAATAAGATGAAATGCAATCTTCAAACTGCAGTTCACTATTATTGATGGTTTCTAATGAGAAGTACTGAGGGGCAAAACTTTCTTCCAAACTTCAATTTAAATTACTGATTGTATTTGCTTTTTTCATGGCAAATCTAATATTTCTTGTTTAGTTCTTAAATACCAAAAAACTTCTGCATGTCATAACTCTTGATTTTCGTCAAATAAAAAAAATAAAATCATCTGTATTTTACTATACGTCAAGTTATATAAATAAATTTTATGTACAGAAACATTTGCCGGAAATGGGAACTTTTATACCATGACTCATGGTCATTAACTGAGATATGTATTGAAATTAGATATAATTAGTTATTTCTGTTGAATTTCTTAGACGGTAGTTTATTGACATTGAAATTAATGTTTACATATAACAGAGTGTATATATATATATGGAAATTGATGTTTATATATAAACTCTTTTCCAAACATTAATTTTAATATCAACAAACTAATTATATCCAATTCTAATAATATGTTTTGTCCAACTTCATCAATCACAATTCATTTTTATGATCAAACATAAATTATGATACACCAACCTTACTTGGGTGGTGAAGTTGAGAGGCTCACTACCATTACACATCTTCAAGAGATTTGATCATGAACAAATGTCAAGCTAAAGACATTAAATTAGCATGTTTAGCATGTTTGCATAATTAGTTATAGATTTAGCTTTTGCATGTTTTTGTTTTGTTAAGTTGATATTTTGGTTAATGCTTGTTGTGTTATTTTGGTTTCATGAGTAAATGGTATGATGTTATTAATGTATGTTTGAATATGTGGTATCCATGTTTCATTGCTTGTTTTATGTTATATAGTGTCATGTTAGTTGCACTTTGTTAATTGTGTGGTTGTTTTGTTAATTGGGAGTTCATTATAGTTGTTAAAAATGTAGAGGTGAAGGAATAAGTTTTAGAGAGGTTGAGAGTTATAAAAGAGTGAAAAAGGAAGCAAAAATGTGAAGGTTCAAGTCTCGGAGCTGCAGCCCTCATTGACAGCTGCAACGGATTTAGCATAAAAACTTTAAAAAAAAAATTCTGATACAAGGGCTCAAGCCCCGGTTCCAAGGCTCAAGCCTTCACTCTCTATTTCACGTCCAGGGGTCCAGAGCTGCAGCCCTCACCTAAGGCTGCAACTCTAACTCTCTGCCAAGTTCCACGTGGGAGTAAAAAAAAAAAAAACGAAGCTGCAGCTCAAGATTCTAAGCCCAAGCTCAATAAATCTGCCATCCTCGAAGCTGCAACTCTAGAATCGTGGCTGCAGCCCTGGGTTCAAATGTCCAATTTTTTCAAGTTATTTTAAGACCCGTTTTCCACTTCTAACCTACGATATACACTTCTCTTCACTCTCTTTTTGTGCTCTCAACTCCTAAACCTTCCACACTCTCTTCTACTCCCACTCTCTTCTCACGAGTCTCTCTTGTTGGTAGGAGATTATTGAAATATTTCATAGTTCTCTTCTGCTCCAATTCACACTAAAAAGGTAAATTTTTCCATAGATTTTTCTCCTCTTGTGGGTTTACATGCGATTCTTTCAAATTTTTTCTTCCTCTTGGAGCCCAATGTGATTTTTAAATTATAATTTCTTGAAAGAACTCTTGAATTGTTGAAGTGAATGAAACGCTTTGTTTGCTTAAAAAAATGCTTATTTAAGGTGCATGCAAAGTGTTTGTGGATATGTTTGCAAGAACACCATGTCAAATTCAACTCCTCGTTATATTTTTTGGCACATTAATATTTGCTTTTTGACGTGCATATCTTCCACATGGTTAATTGTGCTTGAAATAAACTGAAACACGAGGTAGCCTCTATCCATGGCCTACTTTAGAAACCTTTGTTGACCAAATTTTATGGCCTGTGGACAATCCTATTTCCTCAGGAGGGGGTGGAGTGCAACAGCCAGGAGTTCATAGTGCACAACCTGCTGATGAGCATGGATAAGAAGAGGAAGTTGAGAGAGATGAAGAAGCAGTGGAAGAAGAGCAAGGAGAAGAAGAGGAATACGAGTCAGAGGAATCCTAAGACAGACTGTGGAGAAGAGTTCATTTTAAATTTCTGTAATTTTAAATTTTAGTGCTTAAATATTGTGGTTTTATCATTAGCTTGTTTAGTCTAAACTATCTGTTTGTTTTGTGTTAATTAAGGTTTGTGCTGGATGTTATACTTATGCATGTTGTTGTTTTGACTTTTGGTGCTTAGGTCAAGTACTGGTGAACCTTTTGTGTTTTTTGTGGAAAGTCACTAGTTTGTGAATGATCACTGACTGTTGAAGCACTCAATTTTTTTTTGGAAAGACAATTTAGAGTAAAGTCTTGTATATAGTTAATATGATGAAAACAGTTAATAACAATTATTTTTTGGGAAATAGGTGACAATTTTTTAGAATCACTAGATAATCATTCTTGGATAGTCAAGTTGTTTCAAATCAACAAGAAGAAAAATTTCATTTATAAATTCACAGAAAAAAAAGGTGTTATTAATACTCATCTTATGGTTGCACTCTATCATTTATCATGATCTTAGAATTCATGAGCATCTCTTTAACTTGGCATGAAAGGTCAGTGGTTGGATTTATCGAGCCAAACCGATGAGTGAGAGCACCCAATACATACACTTATATGTTTGAGAGTCACCATCATAGCATATGTGTTTGATTCTTGAAATTGTTGCTCTTGTAAGAAATTTTGGAAAAGATCAAGGAATTATGTTGTTCATATTGAAAATCTGTTGAGCCTAGAACCAAACAGCTAACCGTCATTTGAGAAAAATCTTTGTTTGAAACCCATTAGAGCATTACCCTTTATTCAACCCTTAAGCTTATACCAACTGTAAATTCCTCACCCTAACCAAACCTTAGAGAGCATGATGAAAATGAATGTGGGTTAAGTTGGGGGAGTGAAAATTGTCAAGGTTGAAGAAAAAGAAAAGAAATACCATGTTGTGAAGTGTTAAAGTGAGAATTACCTCTCTATTGTTATCATTGTACTGTACAATTCCATTCAAAATAGCTTAAAAAAAAAGAAGCTAAGTTAATGTACAAAAAGGCTCAAAAGAGGTGGGATTCTTACAATTGAGTTAATAAATTATGAGGGCAAATATGGAAAAAGTGAAGGTAGAAATTGGGCTGAGAGATGTGGTTGGAGTTGAAAATTGAAGAGTGAACAAATTTTGAGTCTTGTTGCTTATGTTCATTGTGATCTCTAGAGTTTGAACCTTGTTTAACCAGAAAAACCATATTTCTTTGTTAACTAAGCCCCATTACAACCCTCAAAAGACCTTGTGATCCTTCATCTTCTTTTCAAGAGTGGCAATGGAGAGATGATATCAATGCTTATGCTCATAAAAATGATGTGTTTAGTTGAGAGAAACACTCACCCAAAGAGAGATACACCAGTGAGGAGTATTTATTCAATCACTGATTCATAGTGCTCAAGTTAGTGATTTGTTTTGTGAATTATTTGATTAAGTATGATTGAAAATGTGGGAAAATCAAGTGAGTAGGAATTAATTTGATGAAGGTGAATTGATTAATGATTTATTCTCTTGTTGATATAGAAGTAATTTGTGAATTGGAAAGTGTTGTCTGTTTGCAGTCACAGTGGAACCTTTGTTTGGGGACAAACAAATGAGTAAGTTGGGGGGAGTTGATAAGTGCTCAAATTGCATATTTTTATGCTTAATTTGGCACTCTTTTCCGGAGAGATGTAAGTAATTTTGGTTGTATTTGCCCCTCCAAATAGATAAACTAAGATTAATCAAAGGAGTTACAAGAGTGTAGTTTCTTTGGTTGAAAATATTTCCTTCTTGTGTAGATTTTGATGAAGTTGGAAATCCCAGGCTATAGCTCCAAAGCCAAAGCTGCAGCCATGAAGCCTGAACCAAAAAAAAGTGTTCCAAGAGTTAAGGCTATAGCTCCAGATTCAAAGCTGCAGCCATGAAGCCTGAACCAATTCCAGAGAGTTGAAGCTTCAGCCATGAAACTAGAGCTCCAGCCTTGGAACATTTTGGGCAGTCCAGACATTCAGAGCTACAGCCCCCATTCCAGAGCTACAGCCTTGGAGCTTTGTGCGTCTTGCAACACTTCTAAAGCTGCAGCCACACATCCAGAGCTGCAGCCTTGGGTTAAAAATCCCAACTTTCACTTGGACAGGACGTATTTTAGGGCAAGAAAGGAAGGAAAAAAGGATCGAAACAGAACGTACAAAAACCAAAGAAAAATAGAGAGAAAGATCACCCAGGAAAAGAGGAGAGCTTGAAGATTAGACTTGAAGATTGGCTTGCTTGGGAACGAGGATCCATCTTCATTTCTTCTCTTCTATTGTGTAATCTCATCTTTTTATTTGCTATGGCCCTCACCATGAGTGGCTAGTTTCTCTTGGGTTGGATTCAATGTAACTATTAACTCTATTTCTTCTTAGATTTATATGATATTTAGTTCTATTACTTGTGTTTGATTCTTCTTTTAATGCTTAATCCGGTTTGATCACCCGTTTTATGATATTAGGTTTTTGAACTTTGTTGGAAAACATTTTCAAAATCCTGAACTGAATCATTCACCTAATAATTTCTTGTTCTAGGAATAGACTTAATTTTGTTAGCTATTTTGGTTCAAGTTATTGTTTTTATGCAAGGTGTTAGTCTTAAATCATAGAGGAATCATGTTTAGGGTTAATCACCTTAGGGCTCAATTTTGAGAAATCTGGTTGAGCTAATTATTGAACATGGAAGTGATAGAAGTGGAATCATATTTATCTGATGAAGATTAAAAGAGTTAGAAAGTACATTTGAATCCAATCTCTTTCTCATCTAAGATTTCTGTTACATTCATACTTTCGCTTTTAATTGCTCTAATTTAAACTTAAATCAATACTTCATTCATGTTCTCTGTAAACAAGAAAGGAAATTACTAGTATCCCCAAATCCCTGAGGACGATATCAAATTACTACAACGAAGCTTGGTCCGCTTGCCAAGAGTGAAAAATCCTTCACCAGAATTATGATATTAAATTATTGTAGCTTCGAGATGAGACTTTAACTTACTTGTGAGATTGATGTATTTTAAATTATTGATTATCTTGCATTTTTATTATTATTTTAACAAAATTAACATTAAATACAAGTTCAAAATTAACATTGAATTTTTATTTTTAATATTTCAATGACATTAAATATAAACTTAAAATTATTTGTAATATAATTTTTTTAATTTTTAAAATTTTTTTATAAATATCCATGGATATCCGCGGCTATTCAAGAAATTCATGGATACCCATTTAATGGACACCCGCACGGATATGAGGCGGGTTTGGGACCAATTTTTATCTAGCAGGGCGGGGGCGTGTTTACTATTACCCGCCCCCATGGGGTCCCATTGCCATCCCTACTCATGGTGCGTAAATTTTGCATCCGGAACGGACGTTCCAGATGTATTATTTAACACCAACGAGTACATCAGAACGGACCATTTTGAAATCGGAACGGGTCATTCTGGTTTCCAAAACGGGCCGTTCCAGATTCAGAACAGGCCGTTCCAGAACCCCAACCAACACACAATGTAGTTCAAAGATAAAAAACAAACCATTTACACATACATAATTTTTTTATCTAAAAAATAATATATTTGAAAAAATAAAAATTATATTCTAATAAATATATATATATATATATATAAATTGTCATATGTATAAAATATAAATTTCGAAGAATTATTCATTTATCTCATATTTTTCAAACTTTTGTGCTTTCTATTTATTGTATATGTTGATAAAAAAATCAAGATTGTAAAAATTTATATCATATATCAAAAACATCTTTATATGATAAATAAATTTAATTTAATTTTTATAAGATTTAACATATTTATTTTTATGTTTTTATTAGTTAAATTATTATTAAGTAGGTTTTTAAGATTGTAGTTCTAACCAAACATTTTAAAACTTGTCTATAACAGATAAATATATCATATTAATAACATGTATTTTTAATAAAAATTAGGTTTAATTCTGTTAAATTATAATATAACATAATCTGACCTAGTTTATTTTCATCCTTAATCATAATTGTAGATATAAAAACTTGTAAAAAATAACTATAATATATATTTATACTTTTAAAAATTATATGTAAAATTTTTAATATTACAAATTTATAAATAAGTATTGCCCCCACGATCTAAAATTTCTGAATCCATCACTAACTATAATCCTCGAGTTTGTGTTTGGCATTTTGGAACCAGAACGAGCCGTTCTAGTTGCACTCTTGATGTGTTAATTTTGTATCCGGAACAGCCCGTTCCAGGTACAAAATTAACACACCAAGTGTGCAACCAGAACGGGCCGTTTTAGCTCCAGATGCATTAAAAAAATTTGACATTCACGTGTGCATCCACATGGCATTCATGTGCCGACAGTTAACTTCATCTAAATAATTTGGATGGAAGTCCGATATTGTAATAATTTAAATTATTGGGGACTAAATTGAAACCAAAAATTAAAGTGAGACTAAATTGAAACAAACAAATATTATAAGGGACTAAATTAGGGTTTTAATCTTATATATATGTCACTGATTTAATATCTATCATCAATATCCCACCATACAAGTTGATGCAAATAACAGCCATATATAAACTCGATTTTAATAAAGTAACCAAGTGATTTTACCACATAAACTACGAGTTGATTCTCTATTTACCGTGACGTGGAGTAACACAATCATTACACAACTTCTCAACTACAATGTTAAATAGACATAAATATCACGAGTTGATTATCTGATAAGAGTAACATAATCATTCCATAACTTCTCAACTAGAATATTAAATGGAGATAATGTCAAAGGAAATGCTAAGTAGTTGCATAAGAAATAGTAATACACTTGAAAGAAGAACAACTAATTCACTTTTCTAATTATTTCTTAAGAGGTACTACTTGCAAGACAGAACAAACCGATTGAAGCAAAGTTAGAAGAAGGAGAAAAATTCCAGCAATGGAAGCAGCGCCTTGCCAACGCCTCAGAGTAGCCATCAATTTATCTGTTAAAAAATTATATTTAATAGATAAGAGTCGAGTTCAAGGGAAAGTAATTGGTGCTGTTGAGTGTTGAGTGCTTATCTGTTGAGTGATTTGGAGGGAAAGAACTTTGTACTGTTGAGTGCTTACCTATTGAGTGATTTGAAGGGAAAGTACTTTGTACTGTTGAGCGAATCTAGAGCGTTGATAAAAATTGAACTGCTCAAATTTAGAATGCGCTGTGTGAAAAATCTAACTTCTGTTTTTATTTTTGTTGCTTAGGAGGGCCTACAGGCCCTAAACAACATCACTAAAAGCTAGAAATCTGGGCATAGGAAGGCCTACAGCATCACGAAGAAGTAAATTGTAACAAGAAGGAGGGGACTTCTAATAACATGGAACCAATATCTGTGCTATGCGCCATATTGACTAAGCAATCAACAAGCAAATTCGCCTGACGATAGGCGTTTTTGAATTTGATAGTCAAAGACTTATTCTTCCAATGCTGAATAGATTCAATAATGTTCCAAAGAGGATGGTCAGTGTTGCACCCTGGAGAATGAGATTGACTGCAACCAGCCATTCACATTCAAAGCAATCGAAATTCATATTATTGGACCAAGCCATTTGAAGAGCTTAAACCACACCCCAAGTTCAACTACAATTGAGTTCAATGATCCAAGGTTCCCTTGAAATTCACCTAACCATTGCCCATTATGGTTCCTAAAAACACCCGCACAAGCTGCTTTGGTACTCTTGTTGTGGACAGATGCATCACTGTTGCACTTAATCCAACCAAGAGGGAGGCTGCCACGAAAGTTTGAGAGAAATAGTCAAGGAATTCTGAGTGAAGGAACTTTGATGAATATTAAAGGTTGAGAGGTTGCGAGCTTGAGCAAGAGCCAAGAGTCCATGCATTAGTTCAGGTGGCCCATAAGACATGTTAATATTGAAAATACCCCGTTAAACACCACTTCATTACTGTGCTTCCAAATCTCGGCAAGGATGAAGCCCAAGAACAAAGGCCAAGACATTTCGTCTTCAGCAGTTCCATGATAAAAAGATATTGGTTATAACCCACTCTTGGAGATTATGTTGGAAGAATCCTGAAATGTTTCCTCCGCCAATATAAGCCCAAAGATTAAGAATCACAGGGCAAACTCTGAGCAAGTGAAGAGTAGTTTCCCCATAAGAGTTGCAAAGAGGACATATGGGATCATCAACAATTCCCCTATGAGCCAGATGATTTTGAGACTTTTACAGGGCAACTCATGTACAAATAATAATTTTCGTGGATTCTGTAACTTATATGGAATCGTTGTCCAGGGTCAAGGAAAGGTGAGCTTGCTTTTGGTCTACCAGCTTCGTATTTTTTCCCCAAAAGCTTATTGGAGAGAGCAGCGAAGGTGTGCAGAGAGCACATCAGCTTGGGTATGGTTCTTTGAAGTATAATGGGGCAAAACCTAGTGTTTAAAGTTTGCTTATGCCACGGAAGAGTGGTGGTCTAACTTTGTTATGGTCATTATTATGATTACTAAGATACTATACCAAATATGAGTTTGTGTTTCCAATCTAGTGAAATTTTATTAATGTTAACCTAATGGATTGATTAGGATTTTGGATAGTCTTGTATTTATAAATCACAATATGTGCTTGCTTTATCTTTTATTCTTCCTTCCTCTTTGTTCAGCAAGCTGTCTTTCACATTGTCTACTTTTACTGGCACTTCTAATAGACTAACATCACGTGATCAAACCATCTTTGGGAAAATTCTGTTATCTTTTTTCCAATAACTACTACAATTTTCTAAGACATCTGTTCCTATGTCCACTTATACTAATAGAGATGAAAAAATCACAAGTTACTTTACTAATATAACAACCACTTTGATCTCTTGCTTGATATCTATATTTATAAATTGCTAAGCTTCCTCTCTTTCCTTTCTTCGGATCAACAAGCTCAATCAATTAATAGGAATTAGTAAAATAAGATGGTAATAATTCTTGAAAAAAACTGAACTATATGTTCCAAAATGAATTTGGGAGAAAGCGTACAATTTTAACTTGACATCATGAGAATCATTACTTATTTCAGCTTAGACTTAGATGAGCCCTGAAGTGGTCTTGCAGAGGACCTGACAGGGGCTGACCTAGCAACCTTCTTCACATCATACTTAACGGATGAGAAAGCACATAACATGGCGATCACCATTGTTGGGTAGACGTACACAGCTTTTGAAGGATCAGAATTTACTGGCTTTCCTAAAATCCCTTCTTTGACCAGTCCCCAAATTATAAGAAGGTTCCCAAACACGCTCATTCTCCCGGGTTTTAGAATACCCACAAGTGCTCCAGCCACTGTGAAGTAGCTCCCCGCAAGAACCTGGAAAACAATTGATGTATATTCAGATGAAAAGAATCGATAGAAGCATAGAAAGTAGAAACAGAAACCTAATGGAAAATAGAATTGTGATACAAATCCACATTAATTGAAAATTCCACACAGCAAATGAAGGTATATCAAATTGCAAATAGACAAGAATAACAGGAACAATTATAGAGCACATTTTATGACACTTCTAGAAATTAAAAGTATCAAAACAAGCATAGAAACAGAAACCTAGTGGAAAATGGAATCATGTCATGTGCTACAATGAAATCAATTGGGCAGATGAAGGTATATTAAATTGCAAAATAGACAATAATAGCAAGAACTAACAACTCCAGAGAATGAGAAAGGAGGTTCAATTTAACTTTTAAGTCAATATAAGAGACCTCAATAATCAAAAGAAAGGTGTTAAATTGCCTAACCTCCAAGCGCTGGAGATCAGTTACTGCAGAAGCTTCCTTCACATTGGTCAAATTATACAAATCCAACAAACTATCCCAACGTGGAACAGTCATGTTGTGGATGAGGCCATTCAATGCAGCCCCTGGGTACAGAAGGCCCTTCACAACAACAACAGGAAAGAGCTCACTTGCAATTAACTGCGACGATGTGACATGCAAAGGGGTTGTACACATGCCAGATCTGCAAGTCACCCTGTAAAAGTAACCAAAAAGGAAAAGTTTCAAGCTCAACATCACAACCTATAGTATACTTTTAACTACCAAGTATAATTTCCATATGTTATCCGTGTAAAGATTAGTATACTCTCAGCTATTTAGGCAAACTTCTTAAAAACACTTAGAATAGAAAAATAGGAAGAAAAAATATATAAAAAAAAATCTCAATAAACTAAAATAAATTTATACATAAGTTAGAAAAGCTAATAAAAGAGAACTTCTAGAAATTAATTAATGCATATGCATAAACCGATGAAAAATCTAATTTCATATTTTTTTTTTTCTATCTAAAGAGTGATTCCGAGAAGTTTACCCAACCAGAAACTATGTGAAAAACTTTTACACCATCCGTCCCTACATCCTAATTAAATTCTTGAAGTACCATATAAAAATATAAATATATCAAAGAAGAAACTAAGTAAAATTGGCAGCATGTATGAAGATATCCAAGTCAACCCACCAACAAATGTTAAATGATTTGAAAGTTGATATAAACCCTTTTAAGTCCAAAGGTAGTTAGCATAAAGGAAACAATCAAATATTGATTTCAGTCCAATCGAACAAAAATGGTTTTTCTTTACCTCTTATTTCCCTCTTTTTCAATTTTCTTTTATCATGTGAATGCTAGCCACAATTCAACTCTTGGATAAGACGATCTCGAAAGTAATGAAAAAACTTGTGCATCAATTGGTGAGGCGTGTGTTTGGTTAGTATAAAAAAGGGATTGGGAGTTGGGAGTACCTGAAAAGAGGGATCTGAAAGATGATGAGGAGGAACAAGATGCGAGCGGCTATTGAGGAAATATTGTCGGTCCATTTGGACGATGGCGTCGGAGTAGCCATGGCAGGATCTGAAGCTTCTCGACGCAGTGGAACCTCTCTTTCCCTGTCACAGCTAATAGT